CTTGGACGCTGCTAAGAATTCAATCAGAAGATGACGACCTATATATTTGATGGTTTTTATCCCACTCAATTTTTATACTTTATTTCGTACGTTATTCTCGCTCTTAATATATCGTGAAAGTGAAATACGCTTTCTGACACAGATCCTAGCAACAAGAAAAACAGATAGCGGTATAAAAAGTGATTAATACCTGAACTTCTTTCCAGGTTGAGCAATCAGATCATCATTTTGGAACATTGCTAACGATTCTTCCATATTCTTGCAACAGACATTTGAGTAGAATTCTTTTGCTTCCGAGTCGCTGCTTACGAAAGCATCAGGGTCGAGTTTGTCCTGGAACTTACTCAGCATAATGCGAAATGAGTCAGACTCGTATTTAGCATTTCGACTTGTATGTAGTCCTTCCAGAAACATGTGGGCAGGATGTGGGTCTAGCGGGAGAGAAGAGAGGAGGAGCAGCGGCAAAGAACATTGTAATTTTATGCTTAGAGAAGGATGGTAAGATATGCAGCCAAGTGGGTTCTTATACTAATTGAAGTTGCACATATTTCAGGATGTGACCTCGGCGCCGAGACCACAATTTTCTTGCCTTTGTCAGAGTCACTTTCCATCAAGCAACATTGAAAAAAAGCGTTTTCTCAACTTGCTTTCAGAAACTCGTACCTGCCAATCCTGAACACGAGTGAAGTTTTTAAGGGCTCAGGGAAGTTTTGTACGCAAATCCTACTTTAAAGAGTCTCGCATTCTGATTTCAGAAGTCAGTAACTGAAGCTCCTACTCTGCCATACAAGGCAATCTAGCGGTCCAAGGGATTTGTCTTCCTAGTTTTTAAAAATAAAGTATTCAACTAATCAGGATTGCTTTCATCAGTTTTGTGTTTTTTATCAAAGATTCCAAGGCAAATGGAGAAAAATTTTTTGTTTGAGGACATTATTAAATAGCGAATAAATGATATGAAATTACCCTGATTTTAAGCGTTCAAGAAGCGGGGATTTTTTTCCAAGATGGGCACGCTCAGACAAGCCAAAGGACTTTGCGACCAGAGGGCCCTATGGTGCTGTTGTCTGATATTATCGTGCGGATAAGGATCGTTTG